GATTTTCTACCGGGACGAATTAAAAGTTTTGATCTAGCTCTATTTTTTGAAGCGCAATTGAAGGTATGATAAAGATACATATCGAAATACTTTATTTTTTTAGCTTTTTTTCAAATCGCTTTAGCATAAGTGTCCACTTTCGCCCCCAGCGCTGCTTACTTACCATACCTTTATCCCATCAGCGGCGCAGATAAGAGCTGGTACCATATTGCTCAAGGCTGAACTGAAACTAAAACAGTATATAGAGTTTACATGCCCTTTTCCTGGTCGTAATACAAAGACACAATTCCGCGAAGTGCAGCTAGGCTATAACAAAAGTCATGTTGAGTTGCAAGAATTCCAAATTCCCTCCCTTCTCGAACAGTTAAAGGCGAATCCGGCATATTTTCAACTTTCAGAGCAAGACACTTACTTTCAACATGAACCAGGAAAAACTCTTCGTGTACAGCTGGATTTAGATGTGTTACAGGTACCTGCACGATACCACCTAAGTGTCTGGGAGCGATTAGGTCAGTTTTGGTTATATTTTGCTTCCTTCTTCGGCATCTCTTTCTACGTGATGAATAAGATTAAAGATTATCTTTTTGGCCGACACATTATTCGAGCTTGGGAAGTTATACCTTGGAAAAAGCTTTACTGACACGGGCGTGAATGCTTAGCAGAAGATACCATTGATTTAGATGATTTCTCTACATCTGTTATGTACTAAATATAAAAAAATATATGTAGTAAAAAATACTTCTGTTCCATTCTCTATGATATGCAGAGTTCTATTAAATCAGACTTTAATAATGCATCAACTAATGTGTTTTCAATATTCAGTGCCCTTTGATAATATCAACATAAGTATGTACAAACGTAATTCTAATTGAAGTGTATTTATCATGAGACGCGTAATTGTTAAAAATGTATTCAAATTTAAAATTAGGTGAAATCAAACTACATTGAACTTAGCATTTAAAAAAAATATTGCCGCATATTATAATAGCTGTCATCGATTCGCCACTTCGCCACAAATTTTGTCTGTGAAAGCAACAACAAAGTTAGCTAGCAAGGACGATATCGAATTTGGTTGTACTGCATCGAGTTTGTTCGTTTCGACACTTGCTAACTGTTGGAGAATCGATGTCTGCTAATATAGGTGTATATTATGTGGTTGAGCATTAAACCACAAATTCAAATTCTTGTTAACCATTTTCACGCTTAATTATTCGACATAAGTATTGACACTTTGTATGCTATCATTTTTTCTGAAAAGAGGTGAAATCCAAACTTTCAGAATCGATAAGGCTTTTTGCTGACGCCGGACTCGGATCATAAGCGCGATTATCTTCAATTATTATCGTTGTATGCGGGTAGTAATCAAGTTGGACAAATAAATACCGATATTCCATTTTCCCTGACGGGGTCTATTAAAATATAATGACAAACTGTAAAACACTTAATTGAAAATTGGACATACTTCATACAAGTACCTTTCGTGATTCCAAATGCACAGTGCCTCGGTTCCGTATACCTTGAACATAGAACTGCATGCGTACATGTAAGACGCCGTTACGCTCGAAGGTTGAATGTGCAACTCGCTGTCTGCGACCACGCCGCGATTCCTCACCATATCCCTTTATTGGGGCGCCTAGTGCATCCTGCACACGTGGATCCTAGAAATAATTATTATTCGAATATTCAACTAATAGCTTTCTCATGAACTTACTTCTTTTACTAGATCGAATGCGTCGGAATAAATATTATTTGGACTAGAACTGGAAAAAAGTTCGCGGAATATTGCGTAAAATACTATGCCGGTCACCCCAACCCCAGCCAGAATTATCGCTGTGTAACTGGCAGTTTTTGTGTTTTCCTTAATTTTTTCAGCCAGAGGCCGCACGTCTGTCGATATATCAGTAGGGCCAGTGGTTTCTTGTAAAGTGCGATTGGCATTCGGATCTTCCTTCCGCGTTTGGTAAAGGGGACCCTGTGTCGTCGCAATCATGCGGCTCCATTTAACCTTCAATGTTGATGTTATGCTGGGATTCTTATGCAGCAGCTGACGTAGCACTACGAGTTGTGCCATTTCGATAATTAAGAGTTTTATATTTTATAAAACTGCGATTATAAAACTTTTATTTGCCTACGAGCTAAATTAGAATATCCCAAATAAATAAAATTAAAGTCAGCTGTAAAAATATAGGTTCCACAATCAGCTGATTCCATTAGTTGCTGCCACATTTTCTGCAATTAAACTTTAACTGAGCTCACAGAACGGAAATCTATCAAAGAACGTAAATCTATAAGGTCGGTGTTACAGGCTAACCTAATATTCGCGGCTTGCGTTTTGGTACGCATGCCGTCGACAAACAAACTTTTGTTTGCCAAATTAAATGGCGGCTGCTTAGTTTGCTCGGAGGTGGTTATGTCGAGTTTGGCACAGGGTTGCACGTTCATTATGGTTTTCATGGCTATTGCCAACACGAAATAAGAATTTCAGATGTACATAACGCGCACAATTTAAAATTTTTGTATATGACAACGCCGAATTTGCTGCAGTTTGACCAAACAAAATTAGTTTGCTGTGAGAGTCGCCAAACTCGCACTGTTGTTGTTGTTGTTGTAGCGGCTACAACAACCCCGCCCAGATCGGTTGGTATCTCAGTCGTTGTCGTCAAGTTCCACTAACGGCAACCCTAGGAAGCGTGCAGCTTCTGTGGGGTTTGTCCACAGGGACAAGGCCGTTAGGGTTGTCGGGTTTTCCGGGCATGCGAAGAGATGTTTCGATTTGTGTGGGGTCTCTCCGCATGCCGGACACTCATTCGGCACATCCTCATTCAACCTACTCAAGTAGGAGTTCAACCTGCTGCAGTAGCCGGAGCGAAGTTGTGCGAGTGTAGTGCGTGTCTCCCGAGGCAGATGAAGCTCCGTCTCGTCTATGTCCGGGGGTGGTATGCCTAGAACGGCATTCACAGGTCTAGAGTCTACATATTTCGAGACTGAGTCCCTGTGAATGCCGTTCAGGGCCTGTCTGTAAGCTGTCGGGTCCAGAGGTTGCTTAATGAACCTCTGGACTTCGTCCGTCAGTTCATATAGATGCCTCCTGACGTGCCTAGGCGAGGGCTCCTCTGCAAGCAGCTGTCTGCTTGGGTGGCCACTTCTGTGGCTCCCGATCAGGAACTGCTTGCAGAGCATTATATTATGCTCCTTTACCGGGAGCATTTGCGCCTCGCCGTGCAGGTGGTGTTCAGGCGACATCAAGAGGCATCCCGTCGCTGTCCTAAGTGCCGTATTTTGTACCGTCTGTAGCTTCGTCCACTGCGTCCTACTAGTCCCTGGCGACCACACTGGCGATGCGTAGTTCAAAACCGGCCGGCCTATTGCCTTGTATGTTGCCAGCAACGTTTCTTTGTCTTTGCCCCAAGTACTGCCGGCTAGCGACTTGAGGACCTTGTTGCGGCTCTGTACTTTATTGACAATAGCGGTTGAGTGCGCAGAGAAGGAGAGCAGGCTGTCGAATGTTACTCCGAGTATTTTGGGGTTATTCACCGTCGGAATTGGTGTGTCATCGACGTGAATCCCCAGCGGTAGCCTGACCTCCTTCGTCCAGGTTGTGAACAGGGTCGCGGAGGATTTCGTAGGGGAGAGGGCTAGACACTTTGCAGTGAAGAAGCGAGAAAGTTCGGAGAGATAGCCGTTTACTTTCGAACACAGGTCATCAATTCCATTCCCAGTCGCCATGATCGAGCAATCGTCGGCATAGGAGACAATCGAGACTCCCTCTGGTGGTTGAGGCAGCTTTGAAATGTAAAAGTTAAACAGTAGCGGGGAAAGGACACCACCCTGAGGAACCCCCTGTTTTATTTTTCGCTGCTTACTCGTTTTGTCTCTAAATATTACCGACGAATGTCGACCACTCAGATAATTTGCCGACCACCGTTTGAGCCTCTGTGGGAGAGAGGAGGCCTCTATATCTTCTAGTAGCGTGGAATGGCAGACGGTGTCAAACGCCTTTGACAAGTCCAACGCTACTAGAATCGTTCTCTCACAGGGACGGTTACGGTTAAGGCCTCGAGTTATCTGAGTGTTTATGGCGTTAAGTGCTGTTGTTGTACTGTGCACTTTACGGAAACCATGCTGATGCTTCGCTAGGGTCAGGTGGTTTGTGAAGTACGGGAGTAGCAAGGCCTCGAGTGTCTTCGCTACCGGGGAAAGGAGTGTAATCGGACGATACGAATCTCCTTTGTTGGCAAGTTTCCCCGGTTTGACCAGTGGGACCACTCTCCCCACCTTCCAGATGTCTGGGATGATGAGAGTGGCCATTGACAGGTTGAGGACCTCCGTTAGGTACGCTACCCCCGCAGGACCCAAATTTTTCAGCATCAGCATGCATATTCCGTCGGGACCCATGGCTTTGGAGGCTTACGCCTTCCCGATGGCCACCTGAACTTCACCGCAAGTGAAAGCAAGGGGGCACAAGTTGTTGGCAGTTTGTGCAGCCTTCTGGTCACTCGACGCTTGGCTTTGTCCACCGGAGGATGCAGTATGAACTGCCGGCTAAAATAGCTCGCGCATCGCTCCGGGTCCGACGAGGCATGGTCGCCGAAGGAAATTTCGACTCTGTCGTCGTGCTTCGTCGGATTAGACAATGACCTCACGGTTGACCAAAGCTTGCTCACACCAGAGGTGAAATTACAAGTCTTCAGATGCTCCTCCCACTTCTTCCGCTTATGTACGTTTACAAGTTGCCGAATCTCCGCGTTGAGATCCCTGATACGGGGATCTCCGGGATCGGCCGGACGAAGGCTATCACGCTCATCGGCTAGAACAGCCGCTTCGGCAGGGAAGTTTGGACGTGGGTCCGATATACATCCTGCCGGTATGAAGCGAGCTCCAGCAGCAGTGATAGCCCTGCGGAACTTACGTTCACCGAGATGGACGTCGGTTGGTGTGGGGAGCGCTGCGAAGGTGTTTTCGGTAAACTCCGCGTAACCTTTCCAATCAGCTTTAGAAAAGTTGATATAGGTCCGGTGTTTGGCGGAGGCAAAGTCGGTCGGTTTATCAATCGAAATGACTATGGGTAGATGGTCTGATGCTAGAGTCAGTATAGGTCGCCACGTTATGCTGTTTATCAGACCAGCGCTGACTATTGTGATGTCTGGCGAGCTACTGCAGTTACCCATAATCCTGGTGGGTGCGTCGTCGTTCATTGTGCAGAATGTCGAATCGTCTATCTGCTCAGCCAAGTCTGTTCCCCTACGATCGTTTGACAGGCTTGAGTGCCAAAGATCGTGGTGCGCATTAAAGTCACCTACTACCATACGGTTTTCACCTCTGAGGAGCGCACCTATATCAGGGTGATATCCTGCCGGGCAGCAGGTGACAGGGGGTATGTATATGTTAAATATTTCGAGCTCGACATCGCCTGACCGGATAGCGATGCCCTGACATTCTAGGGTGGTATCCCTGCGGTCGATGTCTGCTTCGATAAGACGATACTGCACGGTGTGGTGCGTGATGAACGCTAAGCCACCACCATTATCTCGCTCGCGATCTCGACGGTGCACGTTGTACCCGGCGCAATTCAACAAAGTTGAATTGCTGTGCAACTTCGTCTCTTGGACCGCAGCTATTAATATACCATGCCGACACATGAAGACGGTTATCTCCTCAATCTTGCTCTGTAGCCCGTTACAGTTGAATTGAAGGAGCTTCATGTGGTTCGGGAGACGTGTCGTGATGTGTGGTCTAAGTGAAGTGTATGTTCTTGCCGCCGTTGGCTGTGTGTGCTGCTGAGTTGATTGCCGCCCTGTGGTGGTGGTGGGGGGG